GAGTGACTCACAGTGAAGGCTAATGTGGAAGCACAGAAATAATGAAATGAGTTGCGATGAAAAATTTAAAAAAATGTGCTGAGACAGGAGGAAGCCCAATGACATTTTTCACAGGACTTTTACTTTCTCTGTCTATTTCTCTGTCTGCTTACTTATTATAAAACACCTGATCCTCTCTGAAAACTGTAAAGTTAGAAATGGGTAATGCTTACTTTATTTGTGTGCATTGAATTTTCTACACCCTCCTGCTATGAGGCCTTGGAAGTAATACAAATAAAACATCTGGCAAATACAAACATACTCTTGCAGAAATTTATTGAAAAGTAATTTCACCCTTAATCGTCATTCAGTTTTTTTTTCATCATCTGCCTGTGATTTATCTTTTTTTTAATTTGTCATTGTAGTAAGCTGCTCAGTACCATCACTGTGATACAGTTGGAAGCCACCCACATGTCAAATTAGTTTTTGTTTTGTTTTGCACTTCAACTACCTCATATCTCCCTGGTATTGCTTCAAATATTACCCACGGTCACCTGCAATTTGTACATTTGCAGTATTTTGGAGAATGACTGCTGCACAAAGTCGGCAAAACTGCGGCAGGCATCACGAACCGACACTGCAATGTCAAGTAACTAGGCAGTTTATTTTAAAATAGGACATATATACTCAGTGATTGAACAACTGTTTCACGTTTTTGCGCTGCTCTCGCTGCAGGTAAAGAACCGACTGGGGTGTATTATGAGCACTTGATAGTTCATTAAATTTACAATTACCAAGGATATGCATCGATCATGTAGGCAAGACCGTCGGTAGCCTCGAAATTGCTCAAAACATGAACGGTGACGTACGGCCATACCTGCAATAGCGCAATAAGCCGACGGGGTTAAAACTTGACATGCGTTTAACAGCTGTGATGAACATACTGCGGGATCTACGAGAAAAAGTGAGCTCTGATGCTAGCGGCGCTGCGGCAAACAAATATGCCTTGTGTGCAGTCTGTCTACGCAATTTGCCCGGGACTGTTTAATTACAGTTTCAGTAGTTCGGAAACAACCCAAAAGCAATTTGATTCACAAAACACACCGAACCACACAGCTGCTCTCAGTACACTCCCGACGCAGTTTGCCCGAGACTGTTTACTTAAGGATTCTGTAGTTCGAAAACAACCCAAAAGCGATCTGATTCACAAAACACACCGCACACAGCTGCTTTCAGTACCGGCGAGTCCGCGGAGGCCTCGGCTGCTGGTGCGGCAACTGCAAAAAACAGCAAAAATTCTAACTAAATGCGGTACATCTGCTGAATTTTCAGATGACCTAAATACTTTTCTCTGTAACAATATAAACGATAGCACATGGTTGATAATGGCTGGTGATATTAATCTTCCTCATATTAACTGGGAAACCTTGACGCCTGGTGATATCGAAACTGCAAGCGGAGATAAGTTATTAAAAATATTGTTTTCGCACAGCCTTACGCAAATCGTGAAGGAAGCCACTAGAATAACTACTGAAACCAAGTCAATGCTCGACCTTGTGTTCTTATTATGCCAGTTGGATGACTACAAGGTGTCAGTGGAAGAGGGCATATCTGACCACCGGCTAGTTGTTACCAATATTACCACAGAGAAAAATGCTTGCTCAAAGTCTGTATCCCGTGTAAAAGTTAAAAATTTTTTGGAAGTGGATGGCACTTCTATTTTAAATTTCTTAGAAGTTGCCTTTGACGAATTTCAGTCCGCCTCGAAATATGAATCACTTGAGACATTATGGAATCGATTTAAGACAATCGTATACACCTGTGCACATAGATTCATCCTGTCTCGTCTTAAAAAGGTAAAACAACGGAGCCCATGGATAACCAGGAATATAATTCGCATGAAAAGAAAAATGAAAAACTGCGGAAAAAGGCAGGAACGCTACTGAACTATCTCAAGCTCGTAAATCCCTAAAAGAAGCCTTGTCCGAATCAAGGAGTAAGTTTTTCCAACATACCCTTGCTGAATTCCTTAAGAGTGCGCTTCAAAAGTTCTGGCTTTATATGAGCGGCAGAAAAGAAAAAAATTGAACAGATCACTGCCGTATCGAAAACAGTGACGCAAAAGATTGAGATAGCAGACGAGCTCAACAGGTTTTTCCAGTCGGTGTTCACGATGCCGTCAGATGTGCGCGGTGATAGCAACGTGCATTCTTCATGCGCACGTCCTATGGAACCCTTGTTATTTGATCAAAAGGTGTACTCTCTGTTAGTAAATCTTGATGCGAAAAAGACTAGCGGCCCGGACAAAATACCAACTGCCTTTCTTAAAAGATACGCAGAATGGGTATCGTTCTTTCTTGTTATTATCTTCGAAAAATCTTTAGAAACTCACTCTCTTCCACAGGATTGGCTCTGCACAATTATCATACCTTTGTTTAAAGCCGGCAACCGAATGGTTATTAGCAACTATCGTCCTGTGTCACTCACGTCGGTTTGCTGCAAAGTTATAGAGCATATTATAGCAAAGCATATCATGATTCACTTGGAGGTCAATCAATTACTTAATGACTGTCAGCATAGATTTAGAAGTGGCAAGTCCACAGTGACACAGTTGATTCAAACAATTCATGATTTCAGTTTGGCTATAGACGAACGCAAACAGGTTGATGTAATTTGCATTGATTTTGCTAAAGCTCTTGAAGTTTTCAACCACACTAAGCTGCTTTTTAAACTGAGAAAAATGGGATTCAGTGATGAAATTATAAATTGGATTGGTGCATACTTGAGTAACCGCAAGCAAGCGGTGAGGATTGATGGTTGTCTTTCAGCTACGCTAGATGTGTTTTCAGGTGTGCCTCAAGGGTCCGTTCTTGGCCCGCTGTTGTTGTTATTGTACATCAACGATATAAGTACTATTGTAAAGCCACCTGTTAAGATGAAACTTTATGCTGATGATTGTTTGATTTATATGCCTGTAAGCTGTACTGATAATCAGCTTGAGTTGAACGAGTGCCTTGAAGATTTGGAATCGTGGTGTCGCAAATGGGAGATGCAAATTAACCTAAAGAAAACAACTTATGTACACATTACCAATAAGAAAAATGTTCTCAAATTTCAATACAGCATCGGGAGCAACACCCTCTCTGAAATAACATATTTTAAATACTTAGGGGTGACAATCACAAACAACTTAACGTGGCACCATCATATTGAATCAGTTTGTTCGGAGTCATTTAAAGAACTTTGTTATCGTCGAGCGAAATTGCATAAAATACCGAAACATGTTAAGCTGCTTGCATACCAAACATATATTAGACCTAGACTGGAGTACGCCTCCGTGGTTTGGAGCCCTCACCAAAAGCACTTAGTTACCAAGTTAGAACGTATTCAGAGGCATGCAGTATGGTTTGTGTGCTCTAGATATAGAAGGCGGGATTCAGCAACTGACAGGCTTAATTCGTGCAATTTATAGCCACTGGAAATTTGAAGACAAAAACAAAAACTTAAAACGTTCTATTGTATAATGCAAGGGATATCAAAAATACCTAAAGACGAGTACATACGCCTTCCCGGAAAACATAGCGCCAGATTGAATCATGAGGCCCCCACTAAACCTTTCAACGCTCGCACTGACATCTTTTGGTGGTCATTTTTTCCAGATGCTATAGAACAATGGAATCGTTTACCCCATCATGTTGTTAATAGTACCTATGTGCAATCTTTTGACAGAGAAATCGATGCTTATTTTGGTCATGGTTGAATTGAACTACTACCAATTTTGGTTTCTTGTGTGCATTGCTATTTGAGTGCCAGTTGTTTTGGTTTTCTGTTTGTACTTATTATTGTACTCCCTCCCTGTCATGACCCTCAAGCAAGGGTTGACAGTATAAGTAAATAAATAAAAAGATGTTCGTGGTAGCCGCTGCCAATGAGCGCCGTAGCAAGCGACATGGACGTCTCCCCTCTTTCTCGTGCGTTCTCCTGCATACGGTTGTCAAACATGATGGAGGGTAAGGACATATCCAGACTGACAACATGGGATACTCTTTTTGTGTGCCTGCTTAGCTGTGTATCTACACTATGTAGCTTGTGTTTGCTTCACGTCTCTTTGTCGCTACTTATATTACCTGTACTTGTTTTACTCAGTTTTTTTATTTTGCGTACTCTTGTATTCCTTGAGTGTTCTTCAAAACTTACATTATTTGTAGTTATACATACCCGACATGGAAAGTCTTGCAATCAAATGGCTGCAGTACCTATCAGATAACTTGCTACTTGATCAATGCAACTTGTGTTTTATTGACACCTCATGAGATATAATGGATCTAATTTTTATAGGGAATAGTGTGTAAATTTGTATAGTATATATTAAACCTATGCAAATAATCAAGCACTTTGAATATTCAAATGAATATTACATTATTGAAATTTGCTTTGACTTGAATTCAAATTCAAATCGAAGAAAATTTATAAATAAAAGTTGTTTCACTGTTGTGGATAGGTGTACTTATCCAGGGGAAATTCGCACTGCAGCAATGCCTCAAGGTTAAATCAAAATGTTATCCTCTCATTGATTCTTCCTTATTTCAAGTTTAAAAGATCGTTATAGTGGTTTACAAGTATTGTTAATTTTAAAACTTATTTTACTGTTTGTCGTTTGCATTCTACCAAAAGTCAAATCGTGCTACTATGCAAAGTTGCTTCCTCTTCTTGAACCACAAATAATGATGCCTGCGCATGTCTTGCTTCAGTTTTTGAAAAAAATATTGTGCAAGTTGGTTGGTTGATGACAAATACACTTCTTTTTCTCAATAATTGGTGATATATACCATTCAAATTCAATTATAAAAATTTGACCAAATCACTATTCGCTTTAAATTTGCTTCGGACCAAAAATTTATACTATTTCCACAAGCCTAGTAAATATTTATTGTTTTGCATGCATGTCAGAAAAGGTCGTGAGGCAGTTGTTGCAAATGGGATTGGAGTTTATAGCACATACCTTTGCGACATCTTTACAGGAAGCTTTTGGTGTTCTTAGCTGATGACATGGTAGCATTTGGAAATGGTCGCAGACTCGGACGGGACAGACTTGTTCGCTCGCTTTGCGGCCTTCTGAGCGCAGACAACAGTGAACTCGTGGAGGTGTGTATCCTTTTCGCCAAATAAAAATGGCTGTAGGACTACATGAGATTGATTCGGAGTGTCAGTTATTACATGTTGACATATGCCAATGTAGAATAGTCAGCTTACTAGTAGTCTCCTATGTGTTTGATGTCTTGCCTTTACAAGAACACACGAAAGTGTGTCTGTTCATGCAAGATTTTTCACTTACATGCAAATACTGCAGGAAAGAAAAAGTTCTCTTTTCTCATTGGCACAGCTTTGAGCAGCTTGCCATGAAGGATTGTATTTGCATGCCTGCCGACATTTACAACAATATTGTTATTTTTGAGGTTTTTTAGAGCCTATTTGTGATTACAACATTACTGCGACAGTTTTATTATTTTTGTTTAGGGATATTTCAATGAACAACGCTCTCCAAAAATGCACAAAAATAGTTGTTGACTAATTGTTCAAAACCAGTAGATAATGCAAACTTACCTGTGCAGCCGTTACACAATGTTTTAGAATTAATGTATGTTGGAAGCCAAAATTTTATCAGCCATGATGGTGTTACTAATATTTCATGAATACACTACACGAAACATTTGTGGCACAAATAATATTTTGCTGCAATGAAGGTCAAAGTGATCACTGTGTATCACAGTACTTGAGTCTTCTGAGTGTAATTGTGATGCCTTCTCATGTTCCAATGTTTTTTTTTTCAGCATTACTCATTTCATAAACACTTGATATATAGAGTAATCAATTTTTTTTCACATTTTTTACATATTACTATTGATGTTAGTATTAAATTTTGCCTTTTTGCTGTGTAATGCGATAAAAACTGTGTTATAGACACAAGGTATTCAACTCTATCACTACTTGTATAACTGAATAGTGTATAGGCATATTATTATTATTATTATTATTATTATTATTATTATTATTATTATTATTATTATTATTATTATTATTATTATTATTATTATTATTATTATTATTATTATTACACGACTAGTACTCTCTCTTGAAGTTCTAAGGTGGGCAGGCCTAGGCTGTTGGGCCCTGTTATGGCTTGGTGACTGTGGTGGAGTCCAGCAAAATGGTTCTTCTGAAATAAAAATAGCAAGGATTAAAATTTAGATTATTCATTCCCTGAAAATACTGCTGCACATCTGTATATTTTTATTTCTACATGCAGGCCAGTCTTGAAGCATTGAACTCTTTTCTCAGGCAGTATTACCTTGTGACGGAAAACACCGAGACAGAAGTCCTCCTGAGTGTTATGTGGCTTATTCACTTCATATCAACAGGTAGCATAACCCTAACGTAAGTAAAGGTGGAGGAGTAAGTGCACCATTTGTCGCAATTTACTTTCTCTTATCGGATGGATGCGCTGTTTGTGCTATGACTGTTGTGGCTGGGGGTAAAGTTCCTTTCACAGCTCTTGATGTCAAAGGGATTTGTTTCGATACCCTTTGTGTGTGTGTGTGTCATTTCATACTCATATACTTCAACCTGCAGTACTCTGGTCTATACATCACATAATTATTATGACACGGGGATTGATTCTGCGCGATTTTACTTGAACAGCACTGAAGGAGAAAATTTGCGGTCAGCACCATATCCTTATGGCCATTATGCAGTTACTGTTATCGTTGCCATGCTGCTGTCATGGCCTTCGTTTTTTTAGGTAATTTTTGCTTACGTTTTGTGTAGAATCATGGTTTAACCAATACTTACACAACAGGAACCAAAGCTTATTTTCTTTAGAACTGCCCTTTAGTTTGTAACTTCTGTTGCTATTGGACATTTATGCTAAAGCATAGGAACAAATGTGCAGTGCCTAGGCAGTCTTGCATAACAAATGCTTCATCTTAACTACATTTACTACAAATATTACCCCGCGTGCTCTTCTGAATACCTTCCTTTAATTTCTGAGAATCATTTTGTCTGTTTCTTCTGCAACAGATCTTCTGGAACAGACCGCCTAGTAGGCTTCTTGAAGACTGTGGCAAAGATCCAGGTATCTCCAGGTGCTTCAGAAGAAGTCCTGCTGGGATTAGCTAAGGTCTGCAGCTATATTTACAGAACTCCGTACTATACTTGGCACATGCTTGAAATGCTGGCATAGTTTGCATACATATGTGCATTGCATTATGTGTCTTGTAATAAATGAATTAATCGGTCAGTCCACCGTGGTGGACTAGTGATTACGGTGCTCAGCTGCTGACACAAAGGTAGTGGGTTTGATCCTGGCCACTGCAGTTGCATTTCTGTGGAGGTGAAAGGCTCAAGGCCCGTGTACGTTGTGATCACTGGATGGTCGGAACACTGGATGCTAAAAATTTCCAGATCTATCTGCTACAGCATCCCTCATAATCATATTATGATGTTAGGACCTAATACCCCAGTTATTATTATTAATAAACCAATCAACTAACTATTGAAATGCATGATTAAGAGATTTGACAGCTGCCAGCAGCAAGAGGATTCTGACAGAGCATGCTGTAATCACACGTTCTGCTGAAATGAAATAAAGATTTTGCTCTTCATTAAAGATTACCATATTTCTCTTGTGAACGTTACCCTCAAGCATCAGTCACACTTCTCATTTGTGAACTATGAATAATTACAATAATTTTTTTTTTTTTGTAGGTCATGCAGAACTTGGCAAAACATCCAACACTCCTCAATGCCTCAGCACAGTTGTTTAGTAAAGTTTCGACGGACTCTGGCAGCTGTCCACCCCTGGACTCTGTGTTGCAAGAGCTACGAGATAACCTGAGCCCCTTGCTGGAGGCTGCAGACATCAACATTGTATGAGCTACCTCAAAGCTTTCCCTTGATATTGCATATAGCGGGAATGGGGGGGGGGGGGGGGGGAGGGGAGCTGGAATTAGACTTCTCCCTACATTGGGTGGTGACGGAAATGTCTACAACTCCAAATTATTGCTCACCATCCTTGTTCGCCACTGACCGCTTTCAATAGACCACATGCCACTGCGTTTTACCACTTTGAAACACATGCTTAAAGAACCAATAAACATCAACAGTGCATGCGCACTGCCACCAAACAGTGCCTCCCACTCCCTGATGATGTAAAAATAATCTGAACAGGTGGCTTTGTGGTTTTGAAAACTCAACAACTCTAGTGCCAGCTCTAGAACACAAGTATCCTTACTTTCTTTTTCAATGTGCATTGTATATGCCATAAATTAAATGTAAATGTGCATTGAAAATGAGAAGTATGAAAACTTGAAATTCCTGAATTCCATAACCCCTCTTCCCCCTGCCCCACTTTCAGAATGTTCACCCCCAACGAATTTCTGGGGAGAGCCGTTGTTGGAAACCATATGGCGCAAAGCTTGTTTATGTTGGTGTGGTAGCACCAGTAATGAACGACATATACGCAGTGCAAGTGCGAGCAATCTGCATCACAAGGACAAAAATAATAAGTGTATAGCTTGTTAATGGGATGTGTTTATAAAAGATGTATGCACAAAAAAAATCGCAGCATATCCTCGGAGTGAAGGATAGTAAGTGGGGCAAAGCTTCGGAGCGTTTTATCGGTAAACCGTGAATCGTCCGTCTGTTGGCCGCGTCCGTCCGTTTGTCTGTCTGTCCATCTGTCTGTCCGTCCATCCATCTGTCTGTCTGTCCATCTGTCTGTCCGTCCATCCATCTGCCTGTCTGTCCGTCTGTCCATTTAGTGAACACTCCAAGCACTGCCATCTTGCATCTTTTCATCATATATTCATTATATACAAGTACTGCCATGTAGCGGACATTTCAAAAACTAAACGAGAAGTGGCTGCCTATGACTACGTACATCTGGGATGCACTACCCACGACTTAGGGAGCTACGCCCTTTAGAAGTATCACACTCTGCTGAACATACTTATTAATGTCATAAATTATCAACTAAATTTGCTTTGGACATGTGCAATACAGTAATAGAAAGAGCCTTGCTTAATAAAAGTTTGGACTTTTATCAATGATTTATTTTGTTTGTCTTCCTCAATTCGCAGTTACCTTAGCTTGCACAACCATGTCTAGTCTGGACTAGTCAAGTTGAAAACATAATCCTCACTGTGCAGGAGGGGAACAAACAATAAAGAAAAAGTTCATCTTTTGGATCGACTAATGCAATCCATCTGTAGGTATAGTTCTGAAACCAAAACAAGCTGTTTGTTTTAGGTTTCAAGTAAAACCTATGTTGGTGTCCTGGTAATGGAAGTCGGCAAAGCTCTTGCCAAATTGGAATATGAAGAAGAAAATGTCCGGTATGTGCTCATTTTCTACATGTCTTAGGCATCCTAGCCAGTGCAAAATTGTGCAGTTGACTGTATGAACAGTTTCAAACTTTGCTCAGGCATTCTACCGTTGCCAAAATGCTGCGGGACAGCTTTGTTGGAATCAAGTTGGACAGGCTGCTGTATATACAGGTACGTCCAGTATTGCTCAAAGCTCTGGAGGAATCTTGCTGCGGTGTTGCTTAGCTTTAGTGTACCTAAGCTTTTGCTCACAAACTAGCTGAAGAGGTGAACCAGTAAGCTGTACTTGCTATTTAGGGCTGACAGGCCACATTCGTCAGCCACCATGTATCCTTTGTGTGTGATGACGTGCCAAAGAAATCACCCCATCGTGCAGCTCTTATGGCGCACTATTCGCGACTCCAAGTGAGCACTAGCCACCCACGGGCCAACCTTGAAAGGAGATATGTTGCCACGTGGCACGTGTTGAGAAGCGGCCGCATAATTCCTTTATTTTCGCCATGCCGCGCGCACGTGCCCGGAAAAAAAGAAAATTATGTCTAAAGAACATTGCAGCATGCCGCATTGCATGCCATAGTGATGGAAAGATGGCAATTACTGTATTGTTCTATCTCTTCCCTACGAATGCAGACGACGCGCGACAGGAAACGGTGCAAATCAGAAACTTGCACATCCAAACGAAGGTGACGGACACTACGGTAGTTTCTTCCAATCAATTTGATTACAATGACTAAATTATAATTGGTGTATACACCATTACTTAGAGTGTGCGCATTCTTGTCAATATTCGGGCATCTTTAAGCGCGGAGTATAGTTTCGTTTATATAAGCAAGCATTTTAGGAAATTTGATGCATTATGTGTGTGACTGAATTTTTACCATATGCTTGCTTTCTGCGCCAGTCATAGTACCACCCATTCACAAATTAAGCTGCTGTAATCCTTCCTCCAGAACATTTCTGATTTCGCATATGCATACTATTGCATGCACACACACATGCACGCGACGGTCGCGTGTGCGTGTATATATGTTTGTGCCGCAATCATCGTGGCAATATATACATGTCCATGCATTTTCAGCGTGCGTGTTGTGCCTGCATATAGTATTTCCTTCAAATGTCAACTACTGCCAACACGAACAAGCGAGTGTTCAGAAGCACACGACCTTATTTATTTGAAACCTAATAACAGGATCGGTGTACAGAAAGAAAGGAGCACTCCTATTACAATCGAAACTACGATTGGCCTAATCTCAAGACGCACTGACATATGCCTAGCTCTGTTCTGTAGTGAATGGCATGCATATTCAACTTTTGAGGGGACAACCCAACTCTGTGAGATTCATGCAATCAGCAGCACGAGTTGCAGCACAGAGTTACTTTGGAAACTCTTGAGGCTTTGCCTGTAGCAGTGCAACAATGTAACGCAAAATTGGTAGCACCATTCGGAAAGGCCTGCTACCCATGAGCAGTTGCCTTCTTCAACCTCCAGCTCACTAGACAGGTTATTCAACTTGCGGTTCGTTGAATAGGTTCGATGTTTGCGTGCATAGTGCAACTATTTGTGCTGTTTTGCCAGTGAAATCATTTATGCTGATGGGAATGAAGTGGTCCGCAATAATCACTCTTTCACCATCGGCGAAGCAACGCGGTTCGGCCTCACAATCACGAAACTTCAGCACAGCGTCAAGCGAAGGTGCCGCGTTCACCCTGTTAGGTGCAGCAATCTTTGTTTTTTTTACCAGTGTTACCAGCACACTAAGTGTTTTTTGGAGTTAATAGTTTGATATGACTTAAAACGGCAGTTGAGGCTTATCTCAGATGACTGAAGTGTGGCAGCTTACTGCCTCCGAAACTAAAAATTGCCCGGCCTGCACAAAAGGCGCAGCCCAGTAATAGTTAAAGTTACAAGAGCGGCATTTCATAGCCTTTTCTAAACACTCCACGGATAACTTCTGCAAGCACACTTGCTGGGTACCCACTACGGCATTAATAGTAATAATTTCTGTAGTAGGCTGTCATTCTCTATGCTACCCTTCGTCATTCTTCTGAGAAGCGTGGTATCCGCTAAACACTTGCAAGGATTTTGTGCCAATAGCTGCTGTAGGGATCTATCAGGCAAGCCAACTTAATAAGACTATTATTTCAAAAGTAAAAAATTTTAATCTTTAGAATTAGGTCCTTCTGAATAATATGTAGTGTAGGATAAGCCGATAATGTATTTTTGTGATGTTTCTGCAAACTTTTCACAGCTCTAAAAAATGTTCTCTCACTCTCCACCCCTTTTTTTGTTACTGCATGTCAGACATTTGATAATATTTCATGTTAGAAAATACCTAGAGATCAGAAAAGTACTTTATCTTGATCCTGATAAAAGTTCAGTTCGTCGTAGAGTATTTTACAGCGCAGTGGGCTAGAGACGGACACAGAAGGGACACAGTGCTGAGTTCGTCTCAGCGCTGTGTTCAGTCTAGTAATCGTCAGTCTAGGAATCACAGCAAAAATTTCATTATAGGAATCTTGTTAGCAGTTGCTAGCATAGCAGTTACAAAATTATGGTGTTCGTAACAGACTTATTCTGTCCAAAAGTGCAAAGTGGGAAAATTGAGTTCAAAGATTTCTCAACACGCTACTGATGTGGATGCTAAAAAAAGTTAATCAGAGAAGCCTGCTGAATAAATAGACTGGGCCTTGTGATAATTGCATCCATTCGTCCTCTGTTATTCACAGCTTCTGAGCTGTGAATGTTGGTCACAACACAGTCGGTGTTTCTAGCAAAACAGAACCGCTGATCACAATAAACTCAATGGAGAAAGAATGGATAAACACATGCATCAAGTAGCACACAAACACTCCAAAAGTGACTCAGGATCGGTGAAAAACCAGTAGTGTGTTATGTTTCCACAAATCCGAGCTTCGGTGTTGGTTTGGCAAGTAATCTGCTGTTGTTGCGGCTAAAAATGTGCCTTTTTTTAATTTATCATATTTGTTTGCTTATAACCCCACAAAAAAAGAGAAAAAATTTGGAGTCAAAGTCTGGGCTAAAAGTATGAATTTGTTCTGCAAAAGTGGCTTCATGGCAATGCTTTACAACTATGCAATGAAGCGAGCTTCGGGGCAATATGCTGAGGTATTTTAGCGAATTTTAGTCGTCTACCTGTTGAGGGTGTGTGTTTTAAGCGAGAAAGTACGGTGTTACTTTGTCCTTTGGTGTACTATTGACTGAAGTTATTGCGTGTCTAGAAGGGACGAAAAACAAATGTTCTAACATGGGCATTCACTTTGCGTTCGGCTTTTTACCTGCTTTGTGGTGGTCTCTCGAAAGCAGGGTTTCAAAGATGCTTTTTAAAATGCAAATGTACACCACCATCGTGTGGAAAGAATTGTACATTTAATTTTTTTCTGTTGCGCAGATGACAACCGAACATAGTTAGAGCATGTTCAAAGTAAGTATATATATATATATATCGAACGCGTTATTCGAAGGTCGTAGGTTCGATTCCTGCTCATGGCTGGTTATTTTTTCATCGACTTTTCTTTCTTCTTATTTACATTCTATTGGTTCTAATAACTTCCCCTGTACATTCCTAGGCATTACTGTCTGTTAGATCTCATTAATATTGTGTTAAAACACGGAAAAACGAGCCCTTATGTATACACTTCTTTCCCTTATATATATATATATATATATATATATATAATTTTTATAGCTCTGCATCCTCCCTTAATGTATATGCTTCTTTTCCCTCCTCCCAGGACACTGGCCTGGAGAGCTTGAAGAAAGTGGCTGTCTGTTTAGAAGCTCTGCAAATGGCTGTACTTCGATTGCTGCAACCATCTGCTATGTAGGTCTCTGTTTACTGTTTCTTGAGAAGATGTCTTTATTTTTTGCACAAATAGTAGTAGCCTTGATGTTGGCCAGTTAGCTTGAGCCATCCACGATATCACACAAAATACCCAATTTGATCACTAGAGACCGAATTATAGGCAAATGCCTATTTTGTTCCCTGCGTTCTTATTGCGCCATTTTGATATATGAACATGAATTAGAAGCTAGGAAGGGCTTTTATAGTGTTTTTCTGGTGCCTATAAATATCTATTTTTGGCGCTCGTGCCTAAATGCCTATAAGTGCCTAGAAATGCCTATTTTCCAAATCAGCACCTTCATGAGCGCTATTTAAGCCCTGATATTGTTTTCGAGCATGGCTTGAAACTATTATTCATGTATAAAAGGCAACATTGATATTTCCAAACACTATGAGGTTGAACTAGGTCCTCTAATTCTAGCAACTTCCGCAAAACAACCGCTAACTACAGTGAAATGGCACTTGCTGGCCACCATACGCCGCAGAGCTGGCATGCTGGCATGCTGCGAGCGATTGGAGGAGGAGCATGAGGAGTGCAAAAGACGCTATTTCTGCAGCCCTCAGCGTCTGCAGAGGAATGAGAAGAAAATATTATAGATGAGGTAAGAAAACAAGAGTGGTGTCGATGGCCGAGGACGCAGCGATCGTCATCTTAAGACAGCTGTCCAGTGTCCTGAAGAAATCGGAGAACGGCACTGAAAACCTGGGTGTTGCGGCTGGAAAGGAGCAGTAGGTTTTTCTGTCCAGTGCGGGTAGGTGGAAAACAAATGAAAATTTATGGAGGGCCACTCATTGAACGCTCATGTTGATTCAGGGGTGGTGTAGGCCGCCAAATTGTTATACCTTACACAGCGAAGCCTGAGACAGGTGCCAGCATGTTTTTAATCAACGGTGTGTTTAGCATACATTCGTCGTATGCCTGAATACCCTTGTGCTGTACGAGACCTCTTGGCATATTCTTTCAAGTGACAAACATGAAAAAAATACAGAACAGGGCTGCAAGATTCGTCCTAAGCCATTGCTCAAAAATGGCAGCTGTGCGAATATGAAAAGGGAACTAGGATGAGAATTACAATCATCGCGTTGAATTAAACAGCAGTTAAAGATCCTATGTCAAGCATTTCACGGTAAAACTCGCATTCGAAATGAATGTACCTAAACAGTACTTTTAGCACAATGGTAATTAAGATTTTAGAATGTCATATCAGATCTAATTTTTATGTTAATTCATTTTTTATTAGTTTCCTGACTGAATTAAATTGCTTGAGGAGAGAACAAGCGTGCTGTATCAATGAAGGCGTGTTTACTTTGACATTGTAACCCATCTGCTGCAGCGTCTTACGCATCCCTCTCTAGGTGACATAAGTAATTGTTATGAGACGCTAGAAGTTCTTGCATAGCCAATGAAAAGCGTTGTACCACGGTGATTTTTCAAATTGGTTTCGCTACAAGCCACAAAACCATGATGCGAAGAGGCAAGCTTGAATCCTTTGCATCTCGTCCCATGTAGCTATCGCGAGCCTAATTCCTTCTCTGCTCTCTTCGGTATCGGGGTTGGAGAGTCACATGGTACATACGCACCAAAAACATAAGCAATGTCACGTGTGCATGACGTGCCCCAGCTTACTTGTGCACGCATGCCATCAATGTTGTGCTGTTTCAGCATTCTCTTTTGTGTATTACTAATTTCTGTGGGATGAATCAGTCAGCGCACGTACTTTTGAAGAGGCTGGCTTGAATCATGTATCGTTAACGTAATACACGACGTCGCTCCTCTATAACTGCGGTCAGAGACGACACACCAAACACAAGCTAAGCGCTGTCAGGGCAGGAATGACTCGAAGACGAACACAAGCGAAATGCGAAATGAAGGAGGGGGAGGGGGAGGAGGAGGAGTGGTAGTGGTAGTGGTGATAGTAGTAGTAGTAGTAGTAGTAGTAGTAGTAGTAGTAGTAGTAGTAGTAGTAGTAGTAGTAGTAGTAGTAGTAGTAGCGAGGAGGAGGAAGATGTGTGATTTTACGTGAAAAAAATTACAAGATGATTATTGGGGATGCCGTATGTTGACCCCATCTGCTGTTCTTTATCGTGCACTGACGTCACGCAGTGCGCAGACATCCACCTTTTCGCCTCCATCATTCAGATGCAACCGCCGTGGCTGGAATTGAACCCTTCACATTCGAGTGAGCGAGCACCCTAGCCACTAGTCCACTGAGGCAGACACGAAATGAGGGCTAATTAGTGTAAAGTATCTTGTGGCCATTGAAAATAAATATAATAACAATGATATTCTGTTTGTGTGTTTCATTATTTCTTTAAGCTTTCATTTATTATACTCATTTTGTAAGCGCAGCGGAAGGACGCAGGGAGAGCAAAGACAAAGAGCACTGTCTTTGTTTTCCCTTTGTTTTTGCACTTCCCTTTCAATATAATATGAAGCAGCTAGCCCAAACCACAGTAGGTACTCCTCATTCATGCTACACAAGAAAACACACAAATTACACATGCCAACTACAAAAATTTCTGCATTTTAAGCTGCTTGAAGATAATTATGGGGCGAAGCTTTCGGAGGTGATTATTGTGATTAAAGTTGAGATAGTATTGAGACTGATTGTGGTTGTGATACTTATATATTTTTTTATTCAAAGAGATAGTGCTGAGACCGATTGTGATATAGCGGTGATTCTTCTTTATAGCTGATATGAGGTTCCGAGTTCCGGGTTACGTCTTGACTTCATAATCACAGCTTCATTAGCTATCGTCTCTGGTGTAGAATTTTCTTGTGGGTATTGCCGCCTTGCATCCGCTTCAAGTACTCTCAGCTGCGCGTCAGCTTGGCATTTTTCCCTCTCAGCCTTTGCTTCCTTAGCCCTAGTCTGTGGTGTAGAACTTTGTTGTCGCCGTCGCTGCTTTGCATCCGCTTCCTTCTCTTTTGTCTCCGCGGTAGCTTCCCGTCGACGGCAATGCTGATTCTCAGCATGTCGCGCTTTCCTGCGTTTGTCTTCGTCCATATGAGAGAAGAGAATCTGTGGTATAGAACGTGGTTATATATATATATAGCGTTGACAGCAGCACCATCACATCTACAATTAACCACAGCACCCTCTGTTGCTTATAAGTTGAAGGTTACATGCAAAATGGTTACCACCAACGCCCTCTGTTGCTTATAAGTTGAAGGTTACATGGCGTTACGGACAGACGGGAGACGGCGGACATCGTGAGGTCTTAAGGAGCTTCGCCCCTAATAATTCACATGCAACTCTCTTAATTAGGTATTATTTAAACTGCAGGATGTAATTAGGAGATGAAAGATTTTTCGTCAGTTTTTTTAGATATAGTCAGCATTTAACCAAGGTCTGATGAAGAGTGCATGGGGAGCGACGTCAGAGCACCAATGTGGACGTAAATGAGTGATGTAAAAGCAGGACCATTGCTGTACGTCACTCCCTCCATCTTGGGGCGCGTGCCTGGGAGAAGGGCAAATGGCATTCAGTATAAATTGAGCATTTTTCCGCAACACATAGCGTTTCAAATATTAACAGGCATGATCCTGAGTGCCCAGTACATCTATTATGCTTGTCAGCTTGAAACGCCCAAATTTAGTGAGGGGCCCTCTAAGGTGTTCAACGAAAGGGGAGAAATTGATCCTACGCTATTAGACCTGGCATCCCTCCCTTCTGTGGTATCAATGGTCTGGTTAGTTGCTCTTGCACTGCTCTTCCCAGCCAAGACGAAACGAAAGAAACCCAGGAGAGTGTTGGTTGGACGGTGGAAACTTGACTCACAATGCTAGACAAATGAAACGAAAGACCGTAATAAGCGAATCGTGCGGGAAACGCGTGCCTATGTTCAGCCGTTGTGCCTTTGTGCTATCTTAAACAATATCATTTCTTTCGTTTCTTGTTGTAGATACAAGTCACCGACGTTTTTGTTTTAAATTATTTCAATTTTTGTAGAAAGTTATTGTGCCTATATTTATAATTTTAAAAATTCTAAAATGGTGCTTTACCTGCCTGTCTTTGGCACCTTAAGCACACTTCTTAGTGCCTGAAAATCCAGCCTCTATTGATCACTTTGTCTCTTGCTGCAAAATATTTAGGCTAACCCCTGATCACACATGTTGATCTTGAGCATATCTGCACTAAAACTGTCTGAAGTGGTCTTCCTGAGTGCTTATTGTTCTCATCTGGTAAAAGTGATTGTTGCCTCGTCTCCATATTTTTTTCCGTCCCAGTGTACTAGATATAGCGAATAAGGCAGTGCAGAAAAGCAAGCAGAGCCACAATCGCAGCCAAAGCCATTTTTTCACCTTCTGTAAAAGGCGAGCAATATAATTTTTAATGTTTTTCCTCCTTCAGCACTACTTACTCATGAGGGTGCCTCAAAATATGGGCATTATCCACGAGAAAAGCGTATGCGTGGTGTGGTCACATATACAAAATTACTTTAAAAGCTTCCTTCGCACAATTCAAATAATTTAAATTGTGCAAGCTGTCTGATGTCCTCTTTAAATAATGTTGCAAAAGGGTAATTTTTGTAACCAGTAGTTTGCTCACAATGCAAGAATGTTTTATGTCCAGTACGCTGGACACTAGAATGCAATTAGATCGCATCGCGCCAAACATTCAAGGAAAAAAAAAACAAAGAAAAGTAGGAGTGAGTGTCAGGCGACAAACTTGAAGGCCAGCCATCAAAAATGAAACAGGAGCATACTGGGAATTCTTCCAAAAGCACAGAGCTTGAGGAGAAAGCCGCATCAGAGGAATTAGGCTTGTGGACGCGAAGCGCGCTCCTTTTTTGTTTTTTTTCCCCTCCATGATGGCATGTGCAACTGTTCACCATGAGACTCTTTTTTTTTTCTCGGATCAAAACAGACTGTTTTGTATAAGATGGTTAACTTTCTCACGGGACCAAAAGCAACGCTCTTTGAAGAACGATAGCAGAATGTATATAAGTGCAACAAAGAAATCCTAGTGTAGAGTATACTGGACATGGTTCGATTGTGAACACCATTGTACTTAGAGTCACCTAAATTTTTTGCATGCTTTTCAATAGCCTCTTAGCTAGAAATGAACATTACAAATCTTTGTCCTACCCTACAAAAAATTTGGGATGGACAGGTATATATTGCCTCGTTCCTTTCTCAAGCTTTATTGCCCTGTTACACTACGTATTCTCAGCGCGCAGCACGTCTGCAGTCTTCGAGAAGCTTCAGGACTGTAGCAGATCATTTCGATAAGATCACGCCCACTCCGCGAACTATACAGATTATTCTGGAAGCAACGTCACCGCTAGTGATAATGCTAGAACATTCTATGGCAAGTGTATAAAAGTCGATGCGCTTCGCTGCTTGTCAGTTGATCGACGGCCGTTGCTCTGTTCGCCGCTATCAGTGCCAGTGTGTATCCCTTTAATCTTACTTTTCATTTGTTGGCCACAAGTTCGGCCCGAATAAAGATTTTCATCTGATCAGTCGAGCCTGCTGCCTTGGTTCACGTCACGACCTTGTGACAATATCGTGTTTCCCGCTTTCTGGTGCAGTTTACAACAATAAAATGCCAGTTCAGACAGACTACTTCGGGCTTAACATGAGAAGCGTCTTCTTTGTAGTCTGCATGCACTGTTCTGTCTACAAAAACTTCTTGCGGCTCTTGTATTGGCAGTTGCTGGAAATATAGCTCATGCGCAGCAAAAACCATTGCAAAGCTAATTTCACCGGGTGATCAGTATTTGCCTGGTAAAATGTTGCAGGGGCAGTCAGTTCTTCCTCTTTTGCTTTCTTTGAGTGTAGGCTACGGTCACTAACATCTATTCATATTCACATTCATCGAGAGACCACATTGCACAATATTTCAGCTTATGAATATATATAGCACATAGGCTAGTTTGGAAAACTACATTTCTTTCTTTTTCTCTTCCAGCTCCAAGTTGCAAAATGAAGCAAAGGCTACAGCAGCTGAAAAGGCAACCATGCGCGTGCAACTCAACGTCAGCAGCGAGCGGATGGTGTTGGCTCTGCTCAAGGACGCCCTCGAGCGTCGCTTGGACGATGAGTTGTTGTGTGAGGTGTTCCACATTCTTGTACTCCTCCTGAGGTGTCAAGGTAAGGGAAAAAAGTTGCTATGTGTTTTGCAAGTGATTGTCCCTGGAAACAGAAACAGCATCGGGACTCTCTCTGCTGCGACCTGCGCTTATAGTTACATTGGTCTTGTAGTGAAGTAAAGCGTACTGAAAAAAACGTTACGGTACACTATAGCAGTAGCAGTATACTAAAACGGTAAGCTACTTAGCCTTTATCAATGTAGTTGTAAAAGCGTAAAAGGTAAATTCTCTATTTCCTAATGCAGATTTTATATCTACGATCTACAGTGACAACTCATGAAAAATGCTTTCTTGGATAACTAAGCTTCCTAAATATTAAGGTATGCTAGCAGTAGAGCTTCATTCATTGTTCTTGTGCTGTTTCTTTTACAATCATGGATAGCCTACTCAGCCGGATTACCGCCATTGTGCACTGTTGTGCATAGTCATGTCATGTTTTGTGTTTGTTTACCTATGTATAATTGTCTCCATAGCAGGAAAAATTATGTGTGCTTTGTCCTTCCTAAAGCTGCTTCAAGCACTCAGTAATGGTTTATGACAGATCCATATTAGTACTGATGATTTTAAAATATATGCAGTACACTATGACTTCAAAGAGTCCTTAAAGGTGCCCTGCAACACTTTTTGAGCATGGTAAAAAAACTCTGCCGCTCGGTAGTAGAGGCTCCCGACAATACGCGAGCCAAATATAATAGCGTAGCACAAGGCCTGGAATTCACAATAAATTTTCGAACTGAGCTAAAAATTGCTTTCTCTTGTCTCGACAAATCACGGAAGATGCTCTAAAATCACTTGTAGAAAGTCCATCTATCAGCCATTAGCTGATTTCAACGTGGCACACTCGGTTGGTACAGAGGTCTACAGGGGAGGCTGCGACTTGTCCACGAGTGCACGCGCGATCACACTGAAAAAGCCGCGCATTTGAAGAAAAAAAAAAGTGCTCAAGGTCACGAAGGCGCATGTGACGTATTTTTCTTGCCCCTGCCATCCCTCCCTGCTTTGCTTCCAGCGCTTTCATCGGGGACGAGAGAAGAGAAAATGCAATTGAAGCATGCGACAAATCTTTAGCTCCACTCGCACTGGACAGATTATTAAAAGTTTTGCGGCGTTGAATTCATGAGGCAATAAGCTGTTCCAGTGAATTAATTTCATGGTTACTTGAAAAGGTGTTTCAGGGCCCCTTCAAAGTGACACTAAAAGCAAATATTAGATTAACGTTGACGAAATTCGGTAGTGCTTATTTTAAAATAAAATCACATTTTATATGTCCGCACGGTGTTAGCGCACTTCAAATCACCCGCCTGAATCTGCGCCTCCTGACATAGTGGTTGCCTTACCCAACATTGCCCAACTCTGTAAAGGCAGTCTGCCTTTACAGCATGGTTGCGGACATGTGCGAAGGGTCGTAGGAATGCAAGGTTACTGGTTGATGGTGTTGACAGCTTGTGACGGTTTGTGCAACCACAATCATAGACACGTTTGTATTTTGTTTAATGTTTTTTTTTCAAGAAAAAAATGATTAAAAAGGCAACTGATTCGTAATTATGCCGCCGCAAGGCGTTTACACTAAAAAAGTAGAATGCGCCTTGTTTCGGCTATAAAAATTTTGTGGCTCGCCTGGTTTGAGTGGTCCCCACTAGTTGGCACCACTTATCCAGCCTAAACAGGTGAAAACGGTATTTTTGAAGCAATTGTGCCATTGTCTATGCTAACACCAAGTGTTTTTTTCTTCTCTTTTTTCTGTGAATCAAGAATAAACAGACAAGCAGGATTTTATGAATTGTAATGCACGGAAGGTTCTTTTTATTGCAGCTAGTTTGATTACTTGTGATTAATTGTATACAGGACATTTGATGTCATTGGGACCATTTCAAGATGCCCCACTCGTGGTGTTACGGGTGTAGTACATTTACCTCCATTTCTAGATAAGTAGAGCACTGCTGTGGATAATAGTGACGTTTTAGAGGTTCTCAAACATAGATCTTTCACTCTAACGCAAATTGTTATTGGCCTTTAGCTGTCCCTTTAAGGCAAGTGCGCATGTAACACTTTCTTACAGCATGGTTGTAATTGTTTATCTGTAAAGACATCAGTTTTGTTTCGTGAAACATCATGAAAACTTGTGGCGCACGAAAAAACACCGACCAAGAGAGACGACGAGACAATGCACTGACTCTCAACAGATTTTTTATTTGATGAGGTGGAATATATGCTTACAACCGTGCAAGCAGCCGCTCAGAGATCTTGCTAGGTTTACAAAGCAAAATTTGCTTTGTCAGCCCAGCCATATCTCTCAGAACCTGCGAGCACAGTTCTACATATATGTTCCACCTCTGTCAAATAAACATTTTGTTGAAAGTCAGCGCATCATCCCATTGTCTTTCTTAGTCAGTGTCTTTTTCGTGCGCCACAAGTTTTCACGATAAGGAAGAGGATTTGACGTTTCTGTTTCTCTCTGTTGATGGACATCCCACTACGGGGCTTTTTTTTTTCTTTAAAATCTTTCAGAAGTACCAAGTGCGAGTGATCTTTCCGAGTTTCTTTCTCGCCATTGCAGTAGCATGGAACACCCGATTTGTAAGTTCGCATTTTCTGTTTTTGTAGTGTGCTGTACAAGGCTTGCTCATAGTGGTGACCCAAAGGCATTAATATATAAAGCACAAGGTCACAGGCTCATTTTGTGTCCATGGTGGCTATATTTCAATGGTGGGTGGACTAAAAATAATTGTTTACTTTGATTTATGGGCTTGTTAAGGAGTCTTTGATGGTCAAAAATAATCTGTCTCCTGCTGCAGCATCTACCGTAGCCTACTTGCCTTGGTACATTAAATGCTCTTTAGCGGGGCGTTTTGAAGGCTCAATTGGTGCATGATACTGTGTAGAAGCAGCCAAAAGTGGTACTGAGTCAATGGAACAAACACAAGCCCTGACTTGCCAACAGTTGTTTGTCAGCACTTGTGTTGTTTTTTTTCTTCGACTTAGTCCCGTTTTTTGTTTGTTTAGAAGCAGTAAATACTTTAGTTTAATTTTTTTTCTAGTCTTAGCCTGTCATGTTCTCTGTATAGAGGATATGTCAAAGAGATTTCAAAGGGGGCAGTTGGTGGCTGTTCATATCTTCTGTGCTCTCTGTATGAAAGGTAGACTAGAAGACACAGACGAATGAATGGTGCCAAGTTTGCACATCATTCGTTTGTTCGCATGTTGGTAGTTGCCACTAGAGATTATAAAATGTTGGTGAATGACAGGTAAGAAAGAAAATTGGAAATCCAAGATACAGATAATGTTAACCAATCATTGTGTTATTTGTATGGGAATAAATTCTATCACTTTAGTACTGTGCAATTGGTCTTGGCTGTCGTCTGTGCTTGGTCTTTACTCGTGTCACAGACAAAATGGGCTGCAATGAAATTATTAACTGCTGTAACTAGCAGCAGTTAGGATGGTATTATGTAGTCAGTGGCTATATAATAGACCATGATAGAGCAGGAGTCATCGCAAATTGTACTTAATTCTTTGGTTGATTTGTTAACCTAGAAAAAAAAAGGAATATGTTTTGGCACCGATTTCGCACTTTATTAAAAATCGCCTTGAATGATGTTGAGAAATGCCTGATGGTTAGCGATGATAATGTTGTCTTCAAAGCAGCAGTATTTGAGCATTATATTTATTAACTGCAATTCTCGATTATGGTGGCATTCAAAACATAGGTATATATAGGGTCTCCAAAATTTATTTTTATAGTACTGTTCTCAAAATGCTTTTGTCACTCGTGTAATAGTATGTAACAGATGACAATTCTTCATTGCACTGATGCAGAAAAGTTAACGTATTGGAGAGTCTTACACTAATCTGATGCTTCACCATTATTTAGATTTTGTTGATTTTTGCACCACTGGATGCTGCAAGTTCTGCCCCTATCTGCACTACAGGGACAGGTACCTGGCCTTGAGTCTTCAAATACAAAGCTTCAGTTTGAAGGAAAAGGGTCTGACAGACTACTGTGTGCAAGTTTATCTGTTGCTAGCTTCTTGCCACGTGGAATGTTCAACGTAGAGCCCTTGCTGAGTTACGCTCTCGTACGTATATTTCAGCTGTTTTCTAACCTCTGATGTGAATGATGAAATAATGTGCATTTTGACCACATTTGTGAGGAGACGACATACGATCACATATATGTCTTTCTTTGAAGGTCTGTTATCTGCGATTCCAGTGACATTGGGGTGTTCATTAATTTAAACTACTTTGACAGCATGATGAAGTCATCAAGTCGAGCATTCTGCAGCTATTGTTTTATGTTTCCATGAAACATAACCCACAGCAGGTGTGGTGGCTGCGTAATCAAAACTGAGAATAGGCCATGAATACACATGTTCTGCATTAACCATATGGGTTGTAGAGGTACCAGTCGCACTACATGCAAAAGCTAGGACGAGTTAATTTCTTGAATTTACAGTTTTTAATTTCTTGATGTCCTGTGCTATGAATTTTGAGTTCAGTAAATTGAACTCACAGTTAATGTGCTGTAAACTGCTTGCTTTACAGTGTGTGGGTGAATGCTCGACTTTAAGGCTGCTCTGCATTAGAGAAAACCTAAATGTAAGCTGCTAGATGGGTTCATTATGCACTTGATATTTTGCAGACTGAAGGATCGACAGAAGTTCAAAAGGCTGGTGCTGAGCTGTTGTCCCACTGCATCTTGCGACGGAATGCATCCACTGCTGTGGTTCATAAAATCAGGTGATACATGGTCACAAAGTTCTAGTACTCTGTGTGAAACTAGCTACTTTAATGGGCTTGTTAACAGCCCCACGATCCAAAATGGGTGATGAAGTCATAACTATGCACTTGCACGTTGTGAACACGTTGCTTCAAGAATTTTGCAAATAAGTGCTGTTATAACGAAGTTACAAGTTATAGAACAATTCACTGTAGAGAAACAATGGATGAAGTCTGTGTAATGTAATTTTGCCCATAAGCAAGATTGTGTCACTTTGCATACCAGGAGGATCGGAAAGGGGCTGGAGAGGGGCATGGGAATTGTTTTCCGCAATTGAGTGTCTGTGCAGCATGCAGTGCTGTGGTATTCATGAAATGTGGTTGCCGCGGCTGTTTGTCTGAATTGGCGAGCTTGTTTGGGAGATATAAAAAAGAAAGGAGCCTGTTTACCGGCTGTGTGAAGGGTTTGGCAATGTCTTTTCGAGGCATCCGATCTTTGACAACAGGCTGTTGGGGCCAACTGTAGTGCAGTAAGTAGACATTAGTTTGAATTGATTGCTTTTGACAGGATGTGTTATGAATACCGTATGAGGAAAGGAGACACATTGTTGCCGAACAAATACTGCGAGAAGACCAGTAAGTGTAGGACACACTAGAGAGCGCTGACTTACAACAAGTTTTAGTTGTCACAACCACGCAGTGTGTACTTGCGCCGTACATGTAGCAGATAAACTTTATTGTAAGTCAGCACTGCTGTGTGTTTCGTTTTTTTACTGCTCCCCGCTTTTTGCCCTGCTTTTATGTGAAGTATCTTATACCAACATGTGCAAGCGGCCACTGTAGCCACATAATTGGCTCATCTCTCTTGTCCACTTTCAAATTTAACACTGTGTTGGTGATTTGCAGAGTAGCTTGTGTTATACCATGTCCACATGCAGTACTTCTTTGTGTCATGCAGAGGACATCGCTGCTGTACTTTGTCGCAAGCTTGGCAGTAAACGCTTCAGATGTTAGTGTGGTCACAGAAGTGCATGCATTTATCATTGAAGTTGTATTTCATCTATGATGCTTTCTCTACTCAATAACTGTCACAATTTACAACTGACGCTTTTGGCCATTTCAAATGGAGCATTAATCTATATACCTCTGTGCTGTCTGTAAGTGAAGCTATGCTTTGGTCATGAGTGTAAAGAACAAGGACCCGTGGTCGTAGGTCAAGAACACGTTTACTCAATCAGATCTAGCTCGGCCTTCTCTACCTCGTTCCTCTCTTTCTCTATATCTGTCGTGCCTCCCCCCCCCCCCCAAGCTCATGCTCAACTTCTTTATTTTCAACAGTGAGCACTGTCAGCGTGCTGTGCCCACTAGTCACAGAAATATTTAACTCCTCTCATTCACTGGTAAATAGGTTCAGGCATGTGTCATTTTTTATGTTAGGATTACCTCATATTTTGATCAAGGAGATGTCAGCATTAATGTTATATCAAATTGCATGACACGTACATCTATATATCTTTTATTTTTTAATTGTGGTGTCCTGTTATAAATTGACATATGCAAGTAATGACAGAAGCCACTCTAGCCTCCGTTTTCTTTATTTCTGCGATACTCGGTGTAGTAGACTTTTCTTAGAATTTTCTTAGACTTGCATATTATTGGTGAGGCTAGCAGTCCTATACATAGCTTGTGTACCACACTGAATGCTGGTATTACATAGACATGCCATAAGGTTAATACATACTGATGGGTTATACTTTGCAGCCTTAGAAATGATGACTCTTGCTATGTGCAAAGGCCTGCTCTAATAGAAAAAACTTTCTAGCTTCACGAAGTGGTGTCTTCAGTAGAAGGGGTGCTTTTCCTTTTAGTGCAGCTTTACATTTGCCTGTTCTATGCTTTTATTTAAAGCATAATGGTGTTTTGTGTCCGTTAGACCATTATTTGAAATTGTTCATTTTTAGTGCAATCATCGAGAAGGCTCCCGAGCCGAATTTGGTGTCATGGGTGAATTGTGTTCGGGACCTCTGTTGTGTCTTGTCTGGAAAGGCCAATAGGCAAGTATCCTCCCAACACCTATTGCGTGCAGTCTTATTAAGCGGCTGTTTGTAGTAATAGTTTCCACTTTCAGATTGTACTCAATATAATTTTTTTCTTTTTTCTTTTACCTCAGCTTTCAAGCCGGAGACAGTTGGCAGCAACCAAACGCTGTGTGCTGCTTTGCATGTGAAGCAGGTTAGTTGGGAGCAAACAATAGAATTTCAGTGCAAGTTTACTTTCGAATATGTGTCTGCTGGGCTGAACTAAGTCAGCAGTATCTTGCACAGGGATCGTGACCTCATTTTTTAAACTCGAATCATCTATCCCATCTTTTATGTGGTACACCGAGGTGCAAGTTTGCACATTGTGAGTGCATTCAATGCAATCAAAGCTACATCCAAATTTCACAAGACGAATTCTTTACAGCTTTCTGCTAACAGCAGCTGACGGAAAGAAGTGCATTCTGTACGGGCAATAAATAGTGTTCAAAAGGGCATAATTGAGAGAGAAAGATAATGTTTATGTTGGTGGCCAATCATCGGCAGCACTCGCACTTTTATTGAGGCTGCATTTCCAGATTGAGACTTCAAGGTGAAGGTTTGGATGTCTGTACTACTTGAATGTGTGCATGGGTAACCATATTGGGCACTCTAGCTTGTTGGTTCATTGTAACATGCACTTCCTACTCTTCTGTTTTGGATGACATTTTCTTGCTCTTAGTGTAAGTGGCTCCTGGTAAACAAAACCTGTAGGGACCAGCAAAATGTGTTTAGTTTAACAGGAGTTTCGTTTACTGAAAGATAAGCAGGAGTGCAGAGTACAAGTTCAAGGCAGTTTTTCCATTCAAGCAGTAATTTAGTTTACTGTTTGTACACTAGAATACGTAAACACAGTTTGTGTATTCCAGCCTCACTATGTTTTATTTTCCACACAGAATGCTTGTCGCTAATTGCTACTGCGAGTGACAGCAAGTACATGAGTGATTGTGTCCTCAAGCTGTGCACCTCCCGTCACAGTTCTGTTAGAGAAGGTGAGTGTCACACTTCACAGACAACTCATACCTTCAATTTTCGTAGTTCGAAACATAATGAGGCATGCACTTTGTCTCGACTCGTGCAGCCATGGTTTCCGACCTGCCCAGCGTCCTTTGCCACATTCAGTTGGATGACGCGCTGATTGCAAGTCTGCTGGACCTTTTGGAAGATTCTGACTATGTTGTCAGGATGAAGTTCGGGTATTTACTACTGCTATACTAATCACCCACTGCTGTTTAATTTGCCACAGAAATTGCTTGGGCATTGCTACCTGTTCTTCAGTTTGTGGAATTGCATAAAAAGATGACGAGTCTAGGGACTTAACAAACAAATTAAATGTAAAGTAGAGTGTAATGGTTTTGTTCCTACATTTTGCAGTCATCTTCAAGTTCCATTCTGCTTCACTCATACGCTGCTACAAAGCTTTACCGACAGAAAACTTCTTGAAAAGAGATGACTGCCATCTCGGTTTAGTTTACAGCCAGTCCAACACTATGTAGTGTATACTAGCACACAAAAACACCTTTGAAGTACTGGTTTCATGGCCAGGCTTAAAAAGAAAATAGTTTTTTTTTTCTAAAATACCACATCCCATGAACTTTGACTGATCTTGTACGTCTTATATATGCAGAATCTTGGCTAACGCAATGCTGAATATCTTGTGGGTGAAGTTGTGGATTCGGATCCTATCAGTGGAAAGGGATCTTTATGCCACTTTAATTCATTTTATATTTGTGTCATAATTGCCACAATATAGTTTTTATAATTAAGAAAATGACACCCATGTTTTTCTTTGCTCAGTTATCCTTTCGTTTCGTTTGGTTGTGTCTAACAGTGATGAGCCCATCGTACCATTCCCCTTCTTTTGTTTGGGGGTTGTAGTATTGGCAGTTTAGTTAAAGCAATCGTTACTTATGCAGCACGCCGTTGTGCATTGCTATATATTTACTTTTTTTTTTCCCCTGAGGACCACCCTTCCACCTGCTGAGACTTCCTGATGCCTTTGATCTTATTTCATATTTATTTATATTCGTTCTTTTCCCTTTCCTCTGAAATGTTAATCCCATTCCTCATCTCTATACAGAGCAGCGTACCGGCAGTTATGCACATACTGGCAAAAATCTGTTTTTCCAACAAAAAGTCTTTCTCTCCCTTAAAGAAAGAATGGAAAGGAAGACTGATGTCTTTCAGAAATCGGCCTCTCAAGATGCTGATGTCGAGAAGCGATTCCAGCGTCCGCAGCACCATTGTGTCACGGTTGAAGCATACTCTGAACAGTGCCTGGCAGTCGGAGAATGTTCGCCTCCAGGACACCCTGCTCACAGCAGTTGGCTGCGTAGGACGGGATGCCAGGGATGAAGACTCACAGGCATTTGCCTTGCTATGCCTGCTGCAGCATATACTCTGCCGCACGGCAGGCGTGGCTGATATCGCACGTGAGCAGGTGAGGATGCTTCGCTTTGTTGCTCATTTAGTCAGCAATACTGTGCTACAGATACTGGTGTGCAGGCAAAGGGGATCCCATTGAAGGCAGAGTTTGTGTAGTAGTGCAAAAAATAGGACAAGCCAGCAGGCGAACTTACTGACATAAAAAGATAACAAATGCAAATTGAGATTAGGAGCTAAGATCTGTCTTGGCATGTATTTGTACTTGTATCTCACTCTGAATTTATTTATTGAAAAATAGTGGGGCTGTGAATACCATCGTTTTGTTTTTCTAATGTGGCAATTCCTCGTGCTTAAAATGCCAGGCATGAGTTCGTTACATCATGTTGCTGAATCTGGGAATAATTAGATGATCGTAGATGCTTGTTTGTGATGAAAATCTGTCGCCATCATCAAAAATGCCAGGCTACCGTAGTAGGGGAGTCAGTTACTGAACATTAACAATATTTAGTACCCTAGTCCCTGGTAGCTGAATTATGGATGCTTCTTGTACTGCAGTTCTCTATATTAGTGAAGCGTGTAAGTGGTAGAGGCTGTAGAGCTCACCAAATGTGCATCAACACTTGTACTTGCCGTTAAAAATGTTTGTTTGGAGTGCTGTTTTGAGGCTACAGATTTTCCCTTGGGGTCTTAGAGTTACGTTCAAGAGCCATTTATGTCAGAACATCATTGCCATGGGTCTCTTACTGCAGCTTGTGGAGCTTGCGGAGAATTTGGGTTCTTCCACGAGCATCTTGTTGAAAAAATTTCGACCACAAGTGGGAAAAGTGAGTTGAAATGTTTTTTTCTTTTCCCCTTACCGGTGCGTGATGAAGATAATGATTTTGCCTTCTGTATTGAAGTTATTTCAAAATTGTGAGTGTTGATATGTTGTAGCATTGTGTGCCTTGTTCTTTGTGCACAAATACTATTCTTATTTCTCATTTCAGTTTCTGTTTGATGGCATGATAAAGGCAAGTCAAGAGCGGGGTTTCTCCATGAACACTTTCCTCAGCAACCTGATTGGAATATTTGGCTCCACTGATGTTCGGAACTTTCTTATAGTAAGTTGTGCACTGGTATTGTCATTTATTTAATTAACTTAACTCACAACTAACTGGTTAATGCTTTGAGCTTCAACCTAGTGTGCAAAGAAAGATGTAAAGATTATGAACAATATTTTGTGCGTTGTTCAAATTCGTTGAAGTTACTTTCACTATTAACTCACTGAATGTCAGTTTACTGGCATGGTACCACCAGGAAGAAAGGATGTTATTTTAAATTTGAGGCATTAACAACTATTTGTTGTAATTTTAGTGCAATGATTTGTTTTACTGATTTGTTTTACGTATAAGAAGTGCAATAGGTTTACCACATTCCACTCACCACCTATTTAAGTGTATCTTGACCTTGTGCAAAACCTACTAGTCAGCTCTGTGACAAAACAGAAATACTACTTTACAAGGCTGGCATGATGAATTAACTGAAGCTAATAAAATTTGGTGGGATAATAGTTGTTTCTAGTTAAAGGCAAAAACATGTGAGATTACCATGTGCACCTTCTGTGCAGAAGCTTCCACCACTGCATCTAGTACTATATACCAAGAGTGTCAATGAACGGGCTGATAAACTAATGTTTTAGAAATTATGAAATATTGCTGTGAAAAAGAAGCTGGAGATGGTATACTTCAGCTAACATGTCATGTGTTGCATCTCTGCTGCAGGCTGTGAGTGCTTATATGTGCGAGTTTCTCAGTCTGAGAGTACTGAGAGTTGGGCGAGTCGGTTTCTTCTCGTCCGTGTGTATCTTCTCCGAAAATAGCCATTTACCAGGCTGTCTTCTTAGTTCCCCATTAATCTTTTACTCCTCACATAGTTCACTCCTTCATATATTAGTGCAACAGCAACAATGTTATGAAAAGTAGTAGCACGTGGCTGCTCACAGCTGTTAACCACTAGCTAATGTGGCGCTACGAGTTTGTTACAAAATGGTTTGCATTCAGCTAGAGAAGTAAACTTCTGCGAGTTTACCGTAAAGAACATCACTTCATGTACAAGCTACAAAGATGTGGCTATTTTACATGGCGAGCAAGGGAAGGGGTCAAAGGGACCGTAAACTTTCGACTGTTTATTCATCACACCCTGGACCAAAATTTATAGGCACAGACATGTGCAGCAAGCTAGGCACACATCGAGTGCATACCACTCTAATTACAACCTGTGATCTAAGAACTCCCTTTCTGCCTGTTAGCGAGACACTGGCGTATCACTGATACATAAGGAACCTCATGCTTTTCTGTGGAATGCCTCCAATGATTCTCGAGCCGTGGTTGTCCCTGCTTCTGCCGATTATCTGATCAATCTTACTTGCAGTGCGTTGGCAAATGTGCCCCATATTCACCTTTTATTGAAAGTTTGTGTTCTCGCGTGTGCTCTTGAACATGAACATCAACCGACTAGCCCAGCAGAGAGTATGTCTAGAACATCACCTGCAGTGCTGGAGTAATTGTGGAGCAGCATTGAACATTTATGGCACTCCCTGCAGAGCATGCTTCGGTTCCTGCTGCCCCCGCTGGTTCTCCAAGCTGAGCCAATGTGTTCTCGCCTGTTGAAGGCATTTGCCAAGGAGATAAAGTCTGCTCGTCGAGACCTCCTAATGACCAACTTCAAGCACATTTTTCCTTACCTCGTCTGCCACGCTTCAGGCAATCAGCTGGCCACTGCCCTGTCATTTGTTGAGGTACGAGTTGGAACATCACGGCTTACTGTACCCTGCTCGCCACCTTGACATCTCTTTATGTGACGGCTGCTCAAAATCAGGGGGGGGGGGGGGGCTGGGCTGGAGAAAAAACGAACAGGATAGCTGAAATGCAGCCTAGAAATAATTACATGCTTAAAAAGTGCTTATCTTAAATGAGACACAAAAGTAGGCTCAATGATTAACTGTATGCTTCACTGCTTCTGGTGAATTCTTTTCACTATATAATTTATTATGCTCCTCATTATTTTAGTTTGTTATGCTCCACCATATTATGCAGTGATACTGCAGTGAAACTTACTGGAGGAAATTTGTTATATTGTAATGCAAACAAAACTATTGTTATGTGAGCTATTCATATTCTGAGACACATGCCTTATAATTTTTTTCTTCGTGGTGTAATGTTTCTTTCAGATTTCAGGCCTTCTTTGACAGAAACAACGAAAACAGTGCCATTTATTTTGCATGTATATTTTCAAAGATGTGAAAATTGATCGCGATATTTGTTTGGAAAAGCATGCTTGCAAGAACGTATTGGTGAACATATCAAAAGTGGGAATGGACATTCTTTGTATAGCCTACTAATTCTATACGACAATATATCCAGGTTTAAACAGAAACAACACCAATGCACTGCAAGCATATAAAGTTTTTTTCCGCTTGCTCTTTTTGTGTTACATTCTAATATATTTACCCGGTAACATTATGCATTGTAGGCAGAGACGGGCCTCCGTATCGGCAACGTGCTTCGATTCGACTTCCAGCGCATCTTGAATGAGCTTCTCTTTCACCTTGGCAGCCACTATGAGCAGGTGCATGATGGCTTGCTGGTGCTGGCCAGGGAAGATGGTTTCCGCCCGATCCGTTCTACCAAGGATTTGGTGAGGGCCACCAAGAGTTTATCTGATAACGAGGAGTGTTGATAAAGACGAAGTAATAAATGCGTGCTGGTGAGCACTGCAGTAGAAGTAGTTGGAAATGAGGAACGGCGTTCAGTCTGATTCCTTCGTGGATCAAGAGTTTCCTTTACCGGGTATGAGTTGGGAACGAAAGTCTGATAAAAAGACAAATGTCTGATAACTTGCATAGACTAAGACACTTGTGTCGTAAGAAATAAACCACCCTGACAACGACTGCCAGACTCACCTTTGCCTGAATTTACATGCACCGTTTTCTATACACAACTTTTGTTTCCATAGTCTGCTTAGCATCTTTTGTCCAAGTATTTTTTTTTATCAGCATCTTCAAACTTCCTTTAGACTTATAGTAATTCTTTAAGTCTACTTTTTTCTTGCACAGTGTCAACAGTTAAAACGGTTTTCATGCTCAATATTGCATGCTAATACTATGATGTGAGCACAATCAGTCTGATTAGAAGATGGAGAGATGTGCGGCACTGTGGGAGATTATGATGAGATATGTCATCTTGCATTATGTGTGACTTCCTTTCTAGTGTGACTTGTTGGAGGTGAAGGTACTTCAATGAAGAACGAAAAAACTTAAATATAGAGAATTCCACTCTCCTTGAAGAACTCTTGTAGTGTTTGGCTGAAATGTTTGCTTGTATGCAGTCATATTGACGTGTTGAAATAAATGTATGAGGAGGGGGCAGTGTGTGAGTGAAAGGCTGCTCTCTGTGTGGTTCAGCTGTAATATACCTACCACTAGTCTTTTTGGCATTTCAGGCAGAGTTTCTTCAGCCGAGGCTACTTGGCTTCCTGACGTTTTTCGACCTTCAGCTTGTGAACAAAAATATACCTGATGACAAGAAAAAAGAGGTTTGTATCATACCGTCTATCTTACCTATACTTAGTTTTTATTGTTTCATGGTTTTATGGCTGCATAGTTTTGTAGGAATTGAAGTCCTCTCGTTTTTTTTGTTTGTTTTTTTTCAATAATGAACAGCACTTTTTGTCTTCTATAGATTTTATGTTGAAGGAATCTAGTATCAGCACTACATTGCACCCCTATGTCTTAAGTTATCACTCTTTTGCAACATGTCATTCCTTGGAATTTCATTTTAGATAATGTATATTTGATCGTCCTTATTTTCTGATGTAAATATGACATTTCAAGTGTTTTTAAAAGCAGAGCCCTTAAAGCTTGAGGTAAAACGTCAGGCTTCCGCGAACCCCCCCCCACGCTTTTCCTTTTTCACGCGCCGTTGCTCATAAGCCATACCTACTGATAGATCCAGCGATGTGGTAACACGCAAAAACAATTATCCCCAAACCAGGCAAGAAGCCGCTAATCGAAAAGCTCAGACTAGTTTCACTGACATCCTGTCTCAGCAAGGTGTACAAAAGAATTGTGAAAACTAGACTACAGAAACATTTGGAAGATAATAAGCACCTGTCCGATACCATGTTCGGTTTCCGTTCTGGCCTGTCCTCGCAGGACGTACTACTTCAAATTAAGGAAAAGGTTCTTGGCAACGTTCCACGCAACAGTGAACACATCCTCTTAGCCATCCACATTAAAGGCGCTTTCGACAACATCAGCCACTAACGAATACTGTAAGGGCTCACCAAGACCAACTGCGGCGAAAGAACATATAGGTACATTCAGAGCTTCTTGAGCCACTGCATGGTAGAGCTGAAGATTGGAGAGCTCCAGACCCCTGCATACGAGCCTCCCAACAAGGGCACGCCACAAGGAGTGCACCCACCCTCTTCAATGTCACCATGATTGGCCCTACAAGAAAACTGCAAGAAGTAGAAGGGCTCCGCCACGCCTTCCATGCAGATTACATGACACTCTGGACCACAAAAATATCACTTGCTCAAAAGAAACTGCCTGCAAACTGCAGCCAACATCATCCAAGAATATGTAAGCCAACGAGGTCTACAATGATCACCAGAGAAATCGGAAATCTTGCGAGTATGGTGAAGCCGAAGTAACCACGCAGCCCCCACAGACCCATCACAAAACTTGAGGTCTACCTCAATGGAAACCTCATACAGAAAAACTATTGATCAGGATCCTGGGCATGTGACTGCAAAGTAACTAACGAGTCACCCGCAAGCTCCTCCAAGCCAGCGCAAGCGCTATAGTATTGAGCATGATATCTTGGGTAATATCTAAGAACAAAGGCATGAATGAAAGAGACACCCTCCGACTTGTTATAAGTTTGATAGTGAGCAGAATAACATATACAACCTAATCTCGCAAAATCTGAGACGAAACAGCCCGAAACCCTCTTGCGAATGGCATTCAAGACTGCTCTCCCCCTCTTGACGAGTACATCCACTCAAAAATTGATGGCACTAGGGCTTCATAACACCCTCAACGAACTTACTGAGGGCGTTGACGTCTCACAACAATAAAGACTTAAGCGTACTTACACTAACCGACTGATCCATCAGAACTTGGGATTCCAAGCCTCGACAACGAGAGCCCAGGAAACCTGTAAGATACTTCGTCGTGCGCGGGACAGGTATCCAATGCCCCAATCCTACGCAACATGGGCCCCAACATGCACTGTGGCAGAAGGGGAGCAAGGGCCCTCTACTTTCAGAAAACTTATGGATTCCAAAATATGGCCTGTTTTATGGATACCGCCATGTTGGGATGACAACTAAAGGAGCAGTGGCAGTAGTATGCGACTGCCGAGGCCACATTATCTCTGGTGGATCAGTCTACCCTTGCAAAGGTTGCAGAAGTTGTAGAGTTGGCCATTGCACTTGCTATCCACGAAGGCCTGCATGCAAACAAGCTGCTTACAATATTCACGGACTCCCAGCAGGCCTGCGGGAACTTCCAGTGGGGTTGAGTTGGTGCACCTGCTGCACATGTCTTGGTACAAATACCAAAGGAAGACAATGAAGGCTATGACATACAGACCGTCATGTGGATCCCAGGACACTCTGGCATCACGATAACGTGCAGCTGACCGGGCAGCTCGAGGCTTCATACACAACCGAGCGCCCCTTATGCAGAGCACCCAGAGCCAGTTGACCTCCAGTATTAAATTATCACAGAGGGCCGTGCCTACGGTATCCACCACCTCATCAAAAGCTTACGACAGAGGAGGCCACTGCCTGGCGTAGACTCCTAACCGGAACCTGCAAAAACCTGCACTTACTACATCGCATTCACCCCACATCTTGCAGAGAAGAATGCCCATGGCACAAAGCCGCATCAACCCTGTACCACATTACATGGGAGTGCACACTACACAACCTCGAACTCCACAACATGAACACTGCAAGTGAGCAATGGGAAGCTCTGCTGTCCAGCTTGGCCTTTGCGACCAGATCGGGCTGATCCAGAGAGCCAAGCAGATGGCAAGAGCCAGTGGAGCCCTGGATCAAGGGCCCCAACCATCAGCAACCTACAGGAGATTTCTTTGCCTGTACATAAAGTTTGTCGTCATCATCATCCGTGCAGCCGCTGTGTGAGCTGAGTATAAGTGATGAAAGGCCCACGCTTCGATCAGCCAGCTTGACACGTTAGTTCTCTGGGTGGAGTTTGGACATCCTTGTATGGTCTGTGACAGGCTGTTTTAATTAGACTTCACAACATGATATTGCAGTTTCGTACTTGTAACTAACAAAACACTGTCTCGCTAGTTTGGGATAATTAAAATCACCCGCCAAAAGAATTTGTGACAGTAGGAATTAGTTCGGCACAAAGTAGAGGCTTAATGTAGCGAAGAAGGCTACATTAAGCCCGTAAGATCAACCAGCGTTGCTTTTGCTTTAACTCAGCTAATGTAAACTTCTCCCTTGTTTTTGTTCTGGGTTTTCACTTGTGACTTCAAGGTTTGCCTTCAGCAAAAACTGTTTATGTACCACATGTTGCATCCTTGATGCTGGGGTGGTGGCGGACCTAGTAAAGCTGCAGGTAATGCAGCTTCTGCGGGCTATTCTCATCATAAATGGTACATTTCTGTGGCTACAAACGTACCGACGTGGTAAAATAAACCAAATATGAAATCTCTTGCTTTATGGCTTGAAGCACAGGATATAAATGGTTGCTGATAGTTTGAGTTTTCTACTTGTAAAAATTGGCACATCGATATTTTTATTTAGCTGTTTGAATTGCAACACTGCAGGCACTAAGGAGCCTTGAGTGCATCCTTCAACTTATGGGCCAGCAGCACGTAACAGCACTTCGAATGAAGTTGATGGCAACCTTGAAGTTGGCATTACGGCTCAGTCATGGGGAATTTCCATCAATTAACAGTTGTGTATGGAGCACATTCATTCACAAGTGAGTATTAATGCCTAAAACAGTCTTTTTCATAAGTTGCAATTGCCAATTCAGCTGCAACGATTTTTATGAATACTGTTCGTCATTGCCACACCGTTTCAAGGTTGGCTCATTGTTCCTAGCTTTTGTGTTCATTCTAGTGTTTGTGGCAAAAGCCTTGTGGGGCCACTGGAAAACGTCAGCTCTCGTCCTGCCTTTGATACTGATTGTTCCGGAATAGATGCCAAGTACATTTTGTCTGCGTTCACCCTGAGCAAAATTACCGAAACCTGCTGCATATGTTGAAAGGCATGATGATGTTAACAAAAAACATAGTGCCGCATGTCACTGTGAGGGTGAGGCAGCACTTTGATCCTTAAAGAAAGTTTATTCGTTGTTATTGATCGAACTCAAATGCAGGAAGGTTACGTTCACAGCAGCCCTGATATCACGTTGACTGCTGCAAGTGCTCCAGGGTCTAGGAAACATGCCTCAAAGGGCTGGCTTTATCAGCTAAGAAAGCAACAAAAAGCGTTCATCCTTTCATATTCTCCTCGTGTTCCTCAGTTGCCCAACAGGAATACAGTAGACAGCAGAAGAACACAAGAGCTTGGCTAGAGTGAAAAAAAGCCAAATGAATGTGAAAATGGGAACAAAGATTGTCAGTACATTATAATCACGTGAAATGAACACCTTATATGCGGCGTCAGCACTCCCGGGAGTCAGAGGAGTCAGATGCATTGTCATTGCCGTCGCACAATGGTGCCTGAGCCCATGTTGTAGTTAGTTTGCGTTGTTCTGCATAGGGCCTGTGCGCATCATATCTGTTGCCAGTGAAATTCAGCAAATTGTGATGTGTCATTTTCATTGTGAAAGTGCACGACAAAGGAAGACCATTTTGCACACTAAATATAGCTGTGTCGTGTCCTTCTTGTGTGCCCGAGGCTTCTCATCGTGAGGAGCGTAAACGGAGATCTTCAGCTGCATATCACTCAGGAAAAGTTGCTGTGGGCTGAAAATAACAAAATATTCTAACCTCAAAAAAAAAAAAAAAGCTTGCAAGCTTTCATAAGCAACTTGGCGTATATTGGCTTTGTCAAGGTAGTGTTATGCAGTGGGTGTATCCAAAAGTGATAGCAAAGCCAGTAAGCAGCCTTTCGGAAGGTGAATAGCCAGTAGAATAAATTTTCCATTCTTTGAAGGAAAATAGGGTTGTGAACATTTTATTGTTAAAATGTAGTAGCAATTAATTTACGTGCATACTTACTATAAATTTGCCAAATCGATTAGTCTGAATACTCTATTTGAAAGCATAGTTTTTATCAAGCTGGGCCAAATAAATGATTTTTTTTTTTGTTCCTTTCCTCTTTATTATAAGTATACTTCATTCAATGTTTTAAAGCAACATATTTGGGCGTACTTAGCATTTTAGCATTTGGTGCTGGGGGGCACTTCGTAAAAGATGAACTTGTGATCGGGTCCCTTCAAGTTTGTCTTAAAGGTAGTCTACTGTTAATGTAGTCAACTGTCATTCATTTAATAGAACGTTATCCTTGGAAAGAAACATGACCAATTTTTTGTGTATTCATATTTAAAAAAAAATCATTAAATGCTGGACGAGGAACTGATCATTGAAATGTATCTACAATGGGTCCATCGATCAATTTGTTTGCTTCCATTCATCTGTTTATTTGTTTATTAGTACCGAGGGACATTACATGAGGGTAGGACAAAAAAACACAAAAGATGAAAGAAAAGAAAGCAAAGCAGCACTAACAATAAAAACAAAATAGAAAAACAGTAGTAGACCATGATTACAAAGATAAAATATGGCATTTTATGGCGGTTTTAAATTGGGCAAACTGAGATGACATGGCGATGTGAGCGGGAAGGTCGTTCCAGTCTTATGATCTCTGAAGGAAAAATGACATCTGGAAGGTCTTTGTTTTTGGACGTACGGGATATATGGCGTTGAGGTGAGAATGGCACGATGTCCGATGTGCAGGTCTGATGAATGCATTGCCTGATGGCATAGAATGAAAAGATTATACGATACAGGCACAATACAGCGAGAGGCAAGGTGGGGAAGGTTAAGTTGAGATTTGACTGCTGATACACTTATGTTAGTCGAGTAATTCGAGATAATGAACCTGGAAGCACGGTTCTGGATGGATTCGAGCATAGTAGAAAGGGTAGCTTGATGAGGATCAAAAATGGCCTTAGCACACTCAACTTTAGGCCTGATGAGTTTTTTATAAGCTATTAGTTTAGTAGCAGGTGGGGCCGAGGCCAGGTTGCGACGAAGGTATCCAACTCAATTAGCTAAGTTAGTGATGCTAATGATGTGTGATGTCCATGTTAGATCAGATGAGATATGAACACGTAAGTATTTTGTAGTGTCCCTTTCATTGTTTGATCTTGTGCTCATCTTCTTTCTTCGTATGGAAAGGCTCGCGTGAGTATTTATTTTTATTTTCTTCCCATTTCACTGGTAGAACTCCAGGTGAAGAACTTGGTAAAGATCCTTGTTTAAAGGGCGGGTAAACAGGCTCCAACTTTATTACAGCGAAAGCTGTTATGAAATCACAACAAGGGTCATGCGTGCCGTAGTTTTTTTCTTCCACCACCGGTGGCCGTAACCACTATCGCACGAAATAAAAAAAAACACAGTGAATGGAGAACACCCAAGACACAATGAGATTCAAACCCGGGTCCCCAGCATGCCAGCCTAGTATTCTACCATTGAGCCACGCTGGTGCTTCAAGCTCCTTTGCAAACTTACCTTAGGCAGGCTTAATGTAGGGAAAGTAATCGCTTTAATATGAGTAATAAAGCATTTTAGTACAGCAAAGGAACAACCAGGTGTCACCCAATGCGAATTGTGCAACGAGTGGGTCATCAAATGCTCCAACCCTTTACAAAACTTGATCTTGTCAACCTATTAACTTTGGCGCATAGCCACTGTGGGTGATTGTGAGAACTACAAAAGCTTCTGGCATAATTATTCATCATCGTGAGCCATAGCATGAAAAAATTGCACAAAACTCCTTGCAAGTACTGCGCTTCTCCAAAGAATGACGAAGAATGGCATAGTGACTGCCTGCCTACAACACAATGATTTATAGCATAGTGGGTACCCTGCAAGCATGCTTGCAGCAGCTACCCAAAGCATAGAGTTTCCTATATACGCTCCAGAAGGAACTCTGGCGCTAGTGTCTATGGAAGCTGAAACTCATGGCACTTCAGTGAGCATGGGAATGGTGAGCTCATGGATTCGCCTAATTTTCGTACTTTATGCTCATTTGGCTTCGCGTGGCTTGAAGCTTGCTTTGTCACGAAACAACAATTGGCAAATGTTCGGCAGTCATACTTCCAATCACAATCCAGCCACAAAGCGAAGCCACAAGTGCGTTCGCCTTCCGCAAGCACGAAGACTAGGTAAATTCCACTGTACTACCCATCATTCCCATGGTCGCTGAATGATGGCAGCCGCAGAGTCGCCTCTAGTTAACTTTAGGAAACTGTATGACCCTAAAGAGTGTTACAAAAGAGCTCTGAAAAGCCATATTTCCAGCTGTTACTGTGCTGGGGCGGGTGTTTTTTTTTGCGATAGCAATTATATGGACACTCTCGGCTGTTTTTTCGCTGTCGCTGTCATGTCTTTTATATGTATATGTATGTATATATAAATAAAGGCCATGAAGAAAAATAAGTCGGAGAGATATTTTGTGGCTCGTTGAATCGAACAGGCGAGCCTCTCTCTCCACATCGTGTGGCGCTAACCGTTCAGCCACAGCAGTGCACGTTCTTCAGCTTGTTTATGGCAAGCTATCTGTATACACCATTTACAGCTGGCAATACACCAATCTTCAGGGGAATATTACAGTGTTCTCTGCCTTACTGAATAAGCAGCAAGACAGTGTGAAGTGCAGGCTTGGTGCCCCACTTGGTGCCAACCTGAACTTTGCCCTACAGGGCGTAGTCGCTCGTGGCCATGGCGCACGCGTGCATATGCTTATGTTTTGGTAGGGGCAGTTTGCACATCATGTGCTCTCTGCCAGAAAAATTACGTTTGGGTCGCAAAGCGCACAAGGGTCACTTTGCTGGATGCAGAGGCCCCGTTTACAAAAAAAAGCGTGCTATTCAAACACAGTGAAGTAACAAGTGTGACCCTTGTTAGTTTGTGCTTGTCCTGTGTATACCTTTGCGTATGTTTCGTGTGTCCATTGTGTTGGAGCAGCATCATTGAGTGTCATGCTGTGTTCGCACTAGTCCTGTGTGTGTTCCTTTTGTGCATTCTTTGTCCTCGTGCTAGTGCACTAATTTTAAATATGTTTTTTGTTGTTTGCATGACATTCCAATATGTTGCTATCGCATTCACTTCTTTGCCTTTGTGACTTTCTTATTTTACACTCCCCAAACAAGCTAGCCTATTCGTACAGTAGACTGTGGTGATCACATTTTTCTAATATTACAGCGCTGCTTGCCGCGTAGACCCTCCATTTCGAAAAACAATGCCTGTGCCTTTTTTCTTATGACAAACCCCCCTCATTTGCACAATGACACGAACCTACCTATGGGCAACTCGACGTGCCACTGAGCTTGCCGATTGGTCCTTTGCCTGAAGAAATGGTAGCTTGGTGCAGGGTTGATGTAATTTTGGCCATGCAGTCCACATTTTCGTTTTTCTGTGCTGCCCTGTGCTGTTTGGTAGAGCCCGAGACTACCGAGAGAACCGATATTGCCAGAACGAGAGCCTCCGAGGTAAAGGGGCATGTCGCTACTTTGCCATTAGGGGAAGGGTGCTCCTTGTGCTGCGTCTCCTCCCCACAGCACTAAGACACGTGCTCGTGTGAAGCCCTGCTCGGTCATTAACTGCACTCTGATGATGACTTATCGCTGATGTCATGACACATTGCCTAAGTGGATGAAGTCGTGATGATGGGCTGCACCTTCCCCTTTCCTATGATGGAAAAGGGTGGTGAGGCTGCGCAAAAGTTTGAAACCAGCTGGAACAGGTGTTCTAAACCCTGTAACTTACTTATTGTAACATATTTACAAAGTTCTTTGGCAGCATGTCCACTTAGCAAAAGTGCATATATTCCTCTTCATTGCGATTTTGGACTTCAGTATTGTGTACCGGCCCATTAAGGAAGGCAAATTTCAAAAGCACGGTTGTGTCGTAGTCCTTTTTATTCTCTTGCTTGTGTTTTTTATGACTAGGTTCTCGAATATCCGCCAAAAGGTACTAAGACAACTTTCTTCAGCCTTTCTATTTTTTTCCCTATAGCCTTGAGCCATCATCTACAGGTCCACTGTTGAGTCAAATTACTGCGACACTGTTGCCACTGCTAAAGCTGGACCCAGAAGGTGCAAAAAACATCTTCAACTTTCTCTTCATTGACAACAGGTGAGCATTTGTTTTATGTTTGCATCCTTGGTCACTACCCTATCTTGAAAGCATTGCCTTTTCACACTGCAAAGAACTTGTACATATTTATTTGTTTTCACATCACATAATGTTTGAGTTCAGCCATAAAAAGCTTTATCATATCGTCTCAGTGCAAAAAATACGGAAATTTGTTCAACAGAAAACAAAAGCAACTTTGGGTCATCTTGTCTGCCTAGTAAATATCGGTCAGTATGTCTTGTGGTCAAACTCGTAAACACCTGCATTGAATATTGGCATGAGATGCTACTCAAAAAAAAAAAAAGTTTTTTTTTAATCTGCAAGCTAGGGCAATAGAATTTTTTCTGTATATATAAGCTTTTATTCTAATTGCAAATATGTAATCAGTTTTACCATAAGTACACATTTTTTCATTTTGTACAATGACAATGTGTAAAGTATAGTTATTTTTGGGCAAGAAGTAGTCACTAAACTCTTATGGTCCTGAGCCATTATTGGCTCATATTACTCCCCTTTAATTGTAGAATGCAAATAACTATCAACAAAGTGCATATAAGACATTTTAATGAACAAGAAAAATCATAATGTGAGAATGCTTAGAATGCTCAGCCCATATAAATTGCTTTTATTAGCTTAGTAATAATTACATAGGTGATATCAAGCTCCAAAGAAGATACTTTCACTGGGCAAAATTTTATCCTGATCTGGATTTATCCTGAGCTGACCAAGAACATGGTGTCCGTACTCAAGAACTTATCCAAAAATGGATCTTGAAAACACTCCTATCAAAGGTATAGGTGAAATCTCATCTATGCAGCAAAATTATGTTTTTTATAATAATTTCTTTCATCATGAGCTTGGTAATCATGATTATGCTGAGCATGTGACTTTGGTTAACCGCTCATGCGAAATGCAATGGCAGGCAGCCAGGTGACAATTACCAGTAGACTCTAGACAATAAACTCTCTTAAGTTTTAAGTAGCCACCTTGTGTTCTTTAAAATCGATTTTAACTTACTTTGTGTTTAATTACAATCTTCTACTTCTTTGTCGTTAAAGTAGAAAAACTATACTTGTGAAAGCAAATAAAAATGAAAAATGTGTAATTTTGAAAAAAGCTTGCATTTTCGACTCACATCTCTTTTTAAGAACTGAAATTCATTTAGTTCCGCTTGCCTGTGTCATGTATAGTGACAGTGAAAATGTTTCTGTTGCTGCTGACCTAATTGATGGTGAAAGAATTTGAATATTTATGGCTCGTTTCATTGGAATGTATTAAACTGCAAAGCACTGTGCATGCTAGTTCTTTTGTGCTCCAAGCGAAATGTCCGAAGTGAGTCTAAAGCTAGTCTACACTTTCTTCTTTGCCATTTCCAGGGAGCAGCACCTGAGCTTCTTCCATGACCTTCATTTCATTTCTGAAGTTCCAGGACTTGAGCATGTTCAGCAAACCGTATCAACACCAGACAGCCAGGGGTAATTATTATTAATAGTAGTTGTTTAAAAGACATTGAATTTATTGAATTTGCTGTACTGCAACTTGACTGCATTGTCAGTGAATGGTTAATTGCGCGAGTGAAATTTCATGATGCTGCTGTGTAACGCACAGCTATCAAAGGGCACAGAAATTGCTTAGGAAATGAAAAAGACACAAGATGAAACATGGGAAATGACAAAACATCAAAATTTTTGCATTAGCTCCCTGTGAAAATGTGTTTTTTTAATAGGAACTGTGCGAGTAGTAAATTTTGGGTTTGAAGTGAATAGTGTTTCGGTTCAAATAATTTTGAGTCAAATTTGAATAGTACATATTACATATTTTAAAAGAAAATTAGCATATTTGTCGTGCTCCAACTAACCTGCACAATATTTTTTTAAATTGGAACATGGCATGTGCAAATGTCATTCTTGTTGGTTTAAAGGGATGTGGAAGCAGCTTTGAATAGCAGCAGCATTTGATTTTCGGTGGTAGAATGTTGGTGATACCTACTAAATAAGTTACCTTTCAAAATTTACTATACTTAGAGCATATAATCCGGCATAACAAACTTTTGAGCGGGCCCCGCCGCGGTGGTCTAGTGGCTAAGGTACTCGGCTGCTGACCCGCAGGGCGCGGGTTCGAATCCCGGCTGTGGTGGCTGCATTTCCGATGGAGGCGGAAATGTTGTAGGCCCGTGTGCTCAGATTTGGGTGCACGTTAAAGAACCCCAGGTGGTCTAAATTTCCGGAGCCCTCCACTACGGCGTCTCTCATAATCATATAGTGGTTTTGGGACGTTAAACCCCACATATCAATCAATCAACTTTTGAGCGGGGGAAAAAAAAAAAAGCAAGAAAAGAAGAATTGATGCGAGGTTAATATGTTCATTTAACCTTGAAGTGGGGCTTTATGGCAGTGCACATTTCAGAGGGAAAGGTGCATTCACGGTGGCATCCCTTTACTGCAGTGAAACAATCTTTATGAGGAAGGGAGGTTACATTTACATGCGGACTAACATACAGCTATTCGTTCATTTTGAATACTTGAAAATTTCAAATAGTTTTAATTGGTTTCGAAGCGCTATGATGCAAGCCTTAAAATTAACCATTCTTTATGATCTGATTTAAAATTGTGTGTGTGTGTTCAAAAACTGTTACTATATTGCCAACCTCCTTTTCGAGTTTCCTTATCACCGCATTACACTTGTATACGCTGCCTTGCACGACCACGCCCACTGCTTAAAAAACCATCGACATAATCATAGAACCTTCCGATGTGATTATGCCCACAACGGGAACATTACAGATTCTTCTGGAACTTGCGTCGCTGCTAGCAGTAGCGCTGGAATATTTGGCAGCACATGTATAAATGCCGATGTGCGTCATCGCTTGTCAGTTGATCGACGACCAATGCTCTGTTCGTCGCTATCAGTGCGAGTGTCTTGCTGTAATCTGATTTTATTGACACGTGCGGTTCTTTTGGTTTACGAAGGAAGACGCTATCACTTTCTGTTAAGCGCAACGCAGGCCGCGTTTATCTTGTATGCCACTCTGGAACGCGTTACGACGCGTGTATAAAAAGACTGACACGTGCGGTTCTTTTGGTTTACGAAGGAAGACGCTATCACTTTGTGTTAAGCGCAACGCAGGCCGCGTTTATCTTGTATGCCACTCTGGAACGCGTTACGACGCGTGTATAAAAAGCCGGCGCAGTGCGCCACTGGGGGTCTTTTCTTCATTTCCGTCGGCCGACGACTGTTCACGCCGCTGTTGCTATGAGTTGTGTTTGGCCCCGTTTTGCTGGGCACAAGTTCGCCCAATAAACAGTTCGCTTGACACCGCCCTGACTCCTGCGTGCTTCCTCTCAAGTGCTGCGTGTATCACAACCTCGTGACATCTGGTGGAGGTGCTTCTCGGTCCATGTACCGTACGCCCCCGTCCAGCCGTGAGCCAAGCCCAAGCCGCCAAGAGGACGACGCCGACCCGGTCGTTCGAGTGAGCCGAAGACAACAAGGACTACCGCCCGAATACCTGCCGCTCCCCGACAAGGACAAGAAAACAAAGGCTGCTACGAAGCCGGCATCCACGATGACGGAAGCAAGGTCTTCGGCAACCGTGGTCGTCAACCAGCCCAAAGAGCCGCCTACCTTCCGCGGATCGACCTACGAAGACCCGGAAAGCTGGCTTGACATTTACGACCGCGTCGCAGCCCTCAATAAGTGGGACCCGGACGACAAGCTGCGTCATGTGTATTTTTACCTGGAAGACGCCGCAAGGACTTGGTTCGAGAACCGCGAGTCAACGCTTCGAACCTGGGACGACTTCCGCGTTGCTTTCCTGCGCACCTTTGCAAGCGTCGTGCGGAAGGAAAGAGCCGCATCACTGCTTGAAACTCGGGTGCAGCTCCCCAACGAAAACGTAACGATCTTTACGGAGGAGATGACGTGACTTTTCCGCCACGCCGACGCCGACATGTCTGAGGACAAGAAGGTTCGCCTCCTTATGCGAGGAGTGAAGCAGGAGCTCTTCGCCGGACTGATCAGAACCCCGCCAAAAACGGTACAAGAGTTCCTCTCCGAGGCTACCACCATCGAGAAGACTCTTGAAATGCGGACCAGCCAATACGATCGGCGCATGTCGCCAGACGTCGCAGAAGTCCGAGGACTCTGCCCCGACGACCTGCGCGAGACCATACGTGCTATTGTTCGTGAAGAACTGCGCCGCATGTTGCCATCGTCACAGCCCCAAGTCGCCTCTCTCGAAGACGTAGTCCGCGAGGAACTACAGCGCTCACTGAGCGTTCCTGAACGGCCACAGCCCCAACCGGAGGCGATGACCTACGCCGCTACTGCACGACGACCTGTCGCCGCTCCTCGCCAACACCAGGACCCAACGTCTCCGCAGTTTCGTCGCCAGCCACCGCCGCCACCCCCGACGCCTTCCCGCTTGCCAGTAATCCAGCGCTCGCCGAGGAAAACTGACGTTTGGCGCACCCCGAACCACCGCCCACTATGCTACCACTGCGGCGAAGCCGGGCACACCTACCGCTACTGCCAGTACTGTGAGATGGGACTGCGTGGCTTCGACGTGAACGCGCCGCGTCCGCGCCCAGGTGAGCGACCTCGCGACATCGCCGACTACATCGCCGGATCGCAGTGGCAACAACGACGACCATCCCGTTCACCTTCGCCTGGCCGCTACGTCTCCCCGGATCGCCGCCAGTACACCGGCCCTAACCGGGGCCGATCCCCAAGCCCCTACCCGGGAAACTAAAGGCAGCAACCGATGGAGGTGCGGTTGCTGCACGACGCAATGCCGAAGATCCTCCTCCGCCGCCGCCGCCGCTGCCGATGACGACGACCACGACGCACGAACTTTCCCGACGTAGTCGCAGTACGCCGCCTGAGCAGAGTCTTTACGACAAAGCCTCGCCGCCGACGCGACATAGCAGCACCGGACCAAGCCGACGCAGCCGTGATCCGACGCCCCGACCTAACCGGAACGCCAGACGACGAACCACCGACCTCGACGTGATCATCGACGGCCACAGCGTCACCGCCCTAGTCGATACCGGCGCCGACTACTCTATCATCAGTGGTCTCTTCGCCGCTAAGCTCAAGAAGGTAAAGACTGCATGGGAAGGACCGGATATCCGAACAGCAGGGGGCCACCTTATAACACCGACTGGAACCTGCACGGCAAGAGTCACGATTCACAGCCAAACGTATTCTGTGAATTTTGTGGTCCTGCAGCAATGCTCGCGAGACGTCATTTTAGGCATGGATTTCCTGGACCAGCAAGGCGCAGTCATCGACCTAAGATCCAGGTCAATCACGCTGTCCACGGATAATGCAACGGCGTCAGACTGCAACGTCGCTCACAATGCCTTGAATGTGACAGAAGAGCAGGTAACCATCCCGCCACTGTCCAGCGTCATCATTTCCGTCGGCACCAAAGCGTCTACCAACTTACAAGGTGTCATCGAAGGCGACCAGCACCTGCTCCTAAACTGTCAGATGTGCGTCGCAAGAGGCATAGCCAAGCTTCATAACGGCGAAGCCAAGGTAATGGTGACGAACTTCAGCAACGAATATAGGCACTTGAATAGGGGCACGACGGTAGCATATCTAAGCGAATTTGTGGAAGAGAGCAATGCCTTCGCCCTCACCGATTCTCAGGGAGCCGCAACGTCGACAGCAGTGTCCGCGCCCGCCTTCGACGTCAATCAAAGCCTTTCCAGGCAGCAACAAAAGGAGCTCAAAGCCTTACTCCACCAATACAAGGACTGCTTCTCGTCGTCGTCGAGGCTTCGTCAGACCCCTCTCGCGAAACATCGCGTCATAAACGACGAATATGCCCGTCCGCTCCGTCAGAGCCCCTACCGAGTTTCTGCACGGGAACGCGAGGCCGTCAAGCAACAAGTCGACGAAATGCTGCGTGACGACATCATTCAGCCGTCTACGAGTCCGTGGGCATCACCCGTGGTGTTGGTGAAGAAGAAGGACGGAACCCTACGTTTTTGCGTCGATTATCGTCGCCTGAACAAGATCACGAAGAAAGACCTGTATCCCCTCCCACGGATAGACGATGCTCTGGACAGACTCTACAACGCCAAGTATTTTTCGTCGATGGATCTCAAAACCGGCTACTGGCAAATCGAAGTAGACGAGAGAGACCGAGAGAAGACTGCCTTCATAACACCAGACGGCCTATTCGAGTTTAAGGTCATGCCCTTTGGTCTTTGCTCGGCGCCTGCGACGTTCCAACGGGTTATGGACACAGTACTCGCAGGCTTGAAGTGGCAGACTTGCCTCGTCTACTTGGACGACGTAGTCGTATTTTCTTCCAACTTCGACGAGCACCTCCGGCGCCTTGAAGCTGTTCTTCGGGTAATCAAAGCCTCGGGACTTACCCTGAAGCCAGAAAAGTGCCGCTTCGCCTACGAGGAACCATTGTTCCTTGGACACGTTATCAGCAAGTCGGGAGTGCTCCCTGATC